AAATCATTTGAAATGAGTGAAAAGAACCAAGTGATATTTTTACTATTTATTATTTATTTTGCAATACAGAGTTGAAAAATAGGGGCCTCTTAATATTAAGAACTTTCTCTTCTGAAATTGATTCACTTTGTAAAGGTGGGATAATTAAAAACTTGTCTACAATTATTTATTTATTTTTATTTCCTTATTTGTTTATATATTATTCGGCATTACGGACTGTTCCCATTTACTCCCATTGGGAATATTAAAAAGGAATGTCATGATAAAATTAAATTACAAATACAGTAAGGTAAGTGCTTAAAGACCTCTCAAAATAATAAAAAATGTGATTGGGATCCTATTTCTTTTTGGGTGTTTTGAATGGGTCCATTTTTTGTTTTTTGTTTGAAAATTCACGCTTTAATGTTCTTCCTAACAGGAGAAAATAGGGTAGTTCTATTGTTCCAAAGAATTAAATCTTTACAGCTACAGAACTAGCATTTGTTGATTTGCATTTTCTTTTTTTTTACTCTCTAGCTCCTATACAGTTGTCAGTTATGAGCATCTTTTCCCAGACCATAAATATCTTCATTCTCATTTCTACTCAAAATCTCTGAGGAGCTTCACTGACTGTCCCTTGATTTCCCTGTAATTACCCAAAGAATCGAAGTAAAGTAGCTGCTTCTCAAATCCTTGAGGAATTCCAAGGGCAAACATCAAAGAACAGCTCAGGAGTGAAAGGTGCTATTAAATGTGTGACCAAAATGCTAGAGCTGCAACAATTTGCTCTTTAGAAAAGGATATTTATACAGACTAGTCTAATTAGTGAGAGATTTTTTTTCCTCTTATGTTTCATGGTTGCAGGTGAATCTGGTTCATATTAATGTTCAAAATGTTCTCTTGAAGAAGATGGTATTTTCCATGGTGGTGATGGCAATATTGTCAGTGTTGCTGTCAAGAATTACATGCCTTATTGTACTAAAGCATCTGATGTGGGGAAACCTTCCCTTATTAAGCACAAGTATTTTCTGCCAGGGGATTTCATAATGGTTGGGATACTGTCTCAATTCTACCCTGTTTCCCCCCAATCGGGCTTTTGAGCACATGGCAATAAGGCCAAGCGCTTATTTCAGGGTTCAAAAAAATATAAGACAGTGTCTTATTTTCGGGAAACATGGTACATGATATCGGATCCAGTTGCTTTCACAAGGCACCCATCTGAAGAACTCATTGATGAGATTGTGTAAAGACTTTCACTTCTAAACAGTAGTATATCTTAACCCATATATTTCTCTCGAATAGGGCATAGCTGATTACTGGTATTATTGCAGCACAAATTTTTTATTCTGTTTCTCCTGTTACTTCCTTCATTCTAAAACCAATATAGATTCACTACACTGACATTTCTTACTGGGCAAATAAATATTTTACACAAACACACAACAGCTCTCACCTCAGTGATTTTTCCATTTTCTTACTGTTTAATTGAATCATCAGTGCTCTACTATCAAATCACCTTTTGTAGCTAACTGCGTGTTAATAGTTTGTTTCACTTAATATTGGGGAACAGTTGTGCTGTATAGCTCTTTGAATTACTTTCAGAACAGTTGTTGAGCATGCATGCAATAAAAATGTCAGTCTTTCTTAATGAAATGTCTACAACTTTTCTTATGATAATAGTCCTCTGAAGGTCTATCATGATTCCCCCAACAGAGAATTATATATAACATTTGCCCTAAATTGTATTTCAAAGCACATCTGTCAGCTTTGGAAGCCATATTAGGCCAGAAGCTCCAATGCTGCCACCTTCTCATGTGTGGGAAAGTAGGAGGGGGGATTTAGGAGAGGGGGTTAGTAGATATAATAGCATTCTTCCTGTCGGTCAAGGTCAGGGCGATCCAGCATCTGGAAAAGGAATGGTCAGGGGACTGGATCAGGATGGAATGGATGTTGATTGGAGCATGTGACCGACTGGGTGGAAAAGGGGATGGTTTTGGGAGCTTTGACTTACTGAAGGAAAACCCGGGCTTTTCAGATTCAGGTTTCCCCAGATGTGCCACTTTGCCTATTCTAATAAAGAGAACTTTGGAAAATGCTTGCTTCCGCGTCTTTACTTGGAGTTGGGTTTTTTTCTGGAACACTGACAACATCCTTCATGCCTATCCCCACAAAAAATAAATAAAAAAATAAAAAAAAATGCAAGAAGAAGATGGAGGAGTTAAAGCTAAAAGACTAGAAGTATGTCTAAGAGTTACAGATACGTTTTAAAAGGTTATTAATCTTCTTTCAAACAATTCATCTGTTTCCTAGTGAAAATCCCAAGAGAATTTTCCATTTCATAAAAAAAAAATTGTTTTTAGACACTGAAAAAATCTTTGTCAAACATTTCCATTACTATACAATGATGTGATCAGTTTTTAATATTCTTCCATTGCTATATTTGGTAGTTGTGTAATGTCACAGCCTTCAGGAAAGGAAATATCATTTGTAATATATCTCTCATCACAGATATTTCCTTCAGAACTATCAACATATCCTGGCCTTGGTTTCTGCTGTAAAGGAGATAAATTAAGACAGTAATATATTATCCAACATCAGTCTGGGTACTCAAATCTCTAATAGTTATTTCATGGTAAGATGGACCTACCTGGCTTCAATGGGGCTTCTCTCAACATGGGGCAGATTCATGCCCAGTTATAAGTGTGATGTGAAGGACTGGGTAGTTTCTGTTATTGCAGGACCTAATTCTTCCATCTTTCCCTTCATGGCAAACATCTTGAATATCTATAAGATTCCTCAGGTAAGGTTTGTTCTTGAACAAAGTGTAACAGACTGTAAGGATAAACTTGAAAGACAGGAGGAAGAGATACAATCTATTCAACATTCTGATAAATGTAATCTGGGCCTAAATCAGAAGTGTAATCTAAGTAAACGGCCACAGATTAACCCCACCACAAACACTTCATTCTTTGGAACATAAAGACAGAGGAGACCGAATGCTATCCAGTTTCCAAGGTTGATGTCAGTCTTTTAAGTTTCTCCAAACTAGGAAACAAAATCCTGAATTCTTCCATTAGAAGATTACAATGAAGAATCTTGCAAGTCTAAAAGTACTCCCTCCTTTTTTACTTTTATTAAATTTATTTTTAACAAACAGCAACAAACAAACTTCCCCCCCCACCCCTTTTATGTTACATTTTGTGATTTGGAAATATAGTGGCAACCCAAAAAGGAATGAACAAACTATGATCAGATGAAATTTGCAGATGAAATTGATATTTTTGGTACTCTGCTAGATGTATTCCTCATTAAGAATCTGAATCAATTAATATATTTGATTTCTTGACTTATTTATTAATAAATTCTATAGAAATATCAATTCATTTGTTGTATCCATTTTGTTACCATGATTAAATAATCAAGTAAAGGATTCATGGACTTGATGAAGTAATAGGAATAGTTATCTTGATTTTTATATTGTAGAATATCCTTCCTTCCTTCCTTCCTTCCTTCCTTCCTTCCTTCCTTCCTTCCTTCCCTCCCTCCCTCCCTCCCTCCCTCCCTCCCTTTCTTCTTGTCTATGAATTTTTAATGATGACAAAATAATGTAGTGATGTTCTACAAGGTAATCATAATCGCACAGAAATTCAACTAAAATGCTCTATTTATTTTACCTTATCGCTTATCCAAACATAGCTGTTTCACTATACTGTAAAAATACATGAAATATCTAGGAAAACTACTTGAAGTAAAAGATAAACAGCTGACTGAGTTACTATAATACTTATTACATATGCTTACTAATATTTGCTAACATTTGCTAAATACAGAGTGTTATAAGAATGTTATTATAATTATTATATACTGCTTCCTCTCTCCCTCCTCCTGAAATTAGAGTAATCAATGGATTATTAAATCCCAGGGAGACATGGGCAGTTTCATCTGCTGGAATGTTTTATCAGGGTTTCTGTATCAACTTGAATGTGATAGCGTTAAATCACTTTAAAGCATAAGATACCATTTTTGCCTCTGCCAAATTCTGAAAATGAGGAATGCAGCCAAAGATTTAGCACTAATTGTATTTCAAACCACTGAAATATGTTGGATGCCAATGTTTGTTTTATTGTTTGTTTGTTTTATTAAATTTATATATCGCTTGTTGGTTGCTAGGGAGCTGTATATTTTCTACTTCTGATCTGTAGTGTACTTGTTTCTGAAATTCAGATAGGATACAATGGATAGTAGGAGGCAGATTGCAAAAAAAAAATAAAAATGAAACACTTAAAAAGAAAGAGGTTAAATGATTGTGCCTGTTCAGTACTTGTTGGATGGCAAATTATATCCATATATGCATCCATATCCGTATGTGTTCATATCAGGATGCTTAAAGATTTGAGATAAAAATTAAGCAAAGCTGGAAAAGGGACGTGGTAAGTATTTTACCCAAAACTATATTCTTCAGTTGCTCGTCCTATCTTATCTTCATAAGATAAAATAAAGACATCATGACTTTTATTTCTTCAAACTTCTTCCATTTCCTATGAAGAGAAAACTAGTGAAATGTAGTTATAGGTTTCCTTTCTTAGTTAGGATCTAGAAGCTTTAGACTTGAAAACCTGTGGTAAAAATTTCCTGAATTAATGCATTTCTGATGACTCTGCCTTTGAACATATACTACATTAATAGCTGTTGTATAAAAATTCTGCAAATTCTTTCTGAATATGAATAGATATCTTTCAATATTTCCAACAAAAATAAATAAATTAAGAATAGAATTTTCAAAAATAAGAATGAATATTTCATTTTGGAAAATCACATTCCCTCTTTTTCCCATGTTTAGCTCATTTATGGATCTTCTCCAGCAATAGATGGCAGGACACAAGATGTTTTCTATCATCGATTTTTCCCAGATGGTGATCAAGAGATTACAGGTCTCCTCCAGCTGCTGATGTATTTAAGGTGGAAATGGATTGGACTGATTTTTCAACTTGAAAAGAGTGGTGAACAATCAATAGAAAATACTGTTACTTTTCCAAGAAAGGTATCTGCTTTGACTTCATGGAAGAGAGGGTCCAGCCCACATTTACCAATTATATTGAAAATATACTTAACGATTTCCATAAATTATATGTGATTATCATGAATAGCACTGTCAACGTGATTAACCTATATTGTGAAAATCATTATACTATCACTATTACAATGTTGTCCTAAGCAGGGGGTTGGACTAGAAGACCTCCAAGGTCCCTTCCAACTCTGTTATTCAATTATCTTCTATTATCAAAGACATGATGAAAGTGTCTTAATTTCCATGCTAATTTCCATATCGGAACACATGGAATGATTTAACCATAGTTACAACTGAGAATCAGAGCCCAAGCAAGTCCAAAAATGCATATAGAGATAACAACAACTATATATTATTTAAAAGAGACAATCAAAACCCCAAAAAGAAAACAAAAAATTCAAAATACCTCCTCACCAGCAATCAACATAAAGATTAATTCTAGACCAACGATCAAGCAAACATGTCCAAGTAAGAAACTAGTAACACAGTCAAACAAGCTAACAGTAAACAAAAGCCTCATCAAGGAACTATAAAGATCACTATGACAGGGCAAGCCACTATATACAATGAGAGCAAACCCCACTCTTTTGTAGTACAGATGACGTTATCTAGTAATCCAATGAAAAATCTGCAAGAAAACAATCAAATTCAGAGAGCACTAAGATACAGATAGTTCACCCATAGAAACAAATTTTCTCTTTTACTAAAACAGCAAAGTCTGGAAAAGATCTATATATGTACGTATAGTACATTTATATTTATGTGTATGTATATACATATAAAGTGCATGCGTTTCTCTGTCTCTTCCTCTCCTCTCCCTCCCACTCTGTCTCTAAAATTGGGCTTCAATCAAGGACACATATAGAAGAGCAGAAAATGCCCCAAATGTGCCAAGAAGTAGAAATTATTCTAGTTCTGTTACTGATTTCCCCAAAAGGGGAAAGAGTTGTAGAATTATGTATGCAGTGCTAATGCTAATATTATAAGTGTGACACAAATAAGCACATTGGTGACCAATAGGCATATCAAACAAAATTCAGACAATACCAGTATTTTGATTAATTGTATTATTTTTAGAATATTTGAAGAGAAAGATGCTTCTTAACAGTGAGATCTAAATTTCAATTAATGCAATTTGATTTGATTTACTTTGTTGTTTAATTAATGGCTGAAATTTCTATTTGAATTCAGCTGTTTTCTCAGTGGGAAGCCAACTGCAGATCCTGGAGAACAAAACTTTTTAAATATCTCATTGAATTCTTTCTGTCCCCTATCACAATTATTTTGTCCTTAATTGCAGGTTACAATACCCTGTGTATCACAAGTTGGTTTGTGCACCTGAGCATGTCTAGACTTGTACAATCATTATCAATACATTCTTATTTTCAATCTCTAAGGAGTTAAAGAAAATACTAAAAGTAATGTATTTCAACAGCAATAAAAATGTAACATTATTTTTTCTCCAAAGCTACAGCTAGAGGACAAAGTCCTGTCATTCTGATTTAAAAAAAAAAGTAAACCTCAACTTTAAAGGAGCCTCATGGAACACTGTATCTCAGGCTGTCCTCTTTCAAATGCCTAATTCTCATGGAGTGAACAGATGGCTGAGAGATAAATTGCTGTACAAAATGATATTATTCTTTGCATCTGTAGCATTATTGCCCTTATATGTAGAAACTGATACAACCCTTGCTAAATGTTCTGTAGGAAATCAGCCTTTTATTAAGCACAAGCGATATCATTCAGAAGATTTAGTCATTGCAGGCATTTCGTCTCAAATTGCGATGATATCTGGTACAGTAACATTCAGAAGAAATCCATCAGATGAACTGTTTGGTGATTTAATGTATGGAATTCCTGTTTTTCAGTAATGCAAATACAGAAAATAGTTAAAGCCTGTGACATGATTGAATTAGGATGGAGGATGAATGTTAAATTGCCTATCCTGCATTATTATTTCTCAATAATATTGCTTCAATTGCCATCACTTATATAAGTTATTTTCCAATGTGTTGTTATTTCTATGGTTTTGGTACCATTCTAGCAGGTATCAGTTTCATTTTAATACACTTTTTTCATACGGCTATAACTCTATGAAGTACACATGAAATAAATGCCTGCCGGGCATTGCTTCATACCAGCAATACGTTAAGGTGTGCATGATTGCAGTTAGTCCAGCATGCAGATATTATATCCAATATTCCTGAGAAATTTCCAGTGTATTGAATAAGTAAAGTAGAAAATCAGGGTACGAAGTAAAATTAAATATAGTCCTCCAAATTAAGAAAAAACCCCACTAATTATTGATGTTTATTGCATTTTGCAATTGGGCTGCCTGAATGCATATGGATTGTTATATTGCTTTGACGTCTTTCCTGAATATTTTAAACGAATGGTTTGTTTGATGCTAGTGCATCCACTTTTATCAGTGCATGTGGCCTGCACAATCTAAACTTGTGTGATACAATTAGAATCCAGCCAATTCCAGATTTTGGCAACAGATGTTGTAAAATTCATTTCAGATATTTTATGCAAAACTACCAGCACATCTTGGCTTTGGAATTTGCAATCAAAGAAATCAATGAGAATTCCAGGATCTTGCCAAACATCACCCTCGGTATCCATATCTCTAATAGCTATTTCATGGGAAGATGGATCTATCTGGCTTCCATGGAGCTTCTCTCTACGAAGGAAAGGTTTATCCCAAACTACAAATGTGACCTCAAGGACAATGTAATCACTGTGATTGCAGGACATAATGCTTTCATTGCTCAGTTCATGTCAAACATTCTGAGTATATATAAGATCCCACAGGTAAGAGCCATCCCATAAAGAAAAGAGTCAAATCTAAATACAGTATTTCTTGCTTGATTTAGTTTAATTTCTATTCCAAATTTTATATTTATGAATCTATTAGTGTCAGAAACATTCAAAACAAAGGGATAACATTGCCTTACATAGTCAAGCTAAACATCAAAATCTATTCCATCAAGGGTGGGACAGAGAGGAATGATTCAAAATGCTAGAAAGTTATGTATACATAATCTACAGGGTAAATCATGTCATGGAAACATGTGTAAACATAGCATAATCCAGAGGTTCATATTCATTCTTGACGTTCTTACATTTCTGGAGCTTTGTTTATTTAATAGAAATTATATTGGAATATGCAAATGGTAGTCAACTCTGTCCATGCCTGGAGAAAATAATATTTAAATAAGATCCTTAAAATAGGCATAAGTGATTTGGAAGTATATACTCTAATTTCTACTTTTTTCTTAGCTCATGTATGGTTCAACTGCAGAGATAGATGACAACATACAAGCTGCTTTCTTCCGTCAATTATTTCCAAATGAAGACCTTCAAATTATGGGGCTGATCCAATTGTTGCTTCACTTCCAGTGGAAATGGATTGGGCTCATTGTCCAGAACCCTAAAAAGGGGAAGAGCTTCATACAGAAAAAGCTTGATATATTTTCTAAGAAAGGCATCTGTTTTGATTTCATGGAAGAAATGCCAATGGAATCTGTTATCAATGATATTGAAATTCAACTTAATTCTTATGTTTTGCTCTATAAGGCTATTATGAGAAGTACTGCCAATGTTGTAATCACTTATGGTGAAAGTGACAACATGGTTTTTCTTAGAATTGTGCCATTTGGTTCAGAATATGAAGAAATGCCAATGAAGAGAAAAGATAAAGTTTGGGTCATGCCAGCACAGATGGAATTCACATCAGTCCCCTTTCAAAGATACAGGGGACTGGATTTCATCCACGGTGCCCTATCGTTGGCAGTTTCTTCAAAGGAAATATTAGGGTTTAAGAAATTTACTCAGTTGAGAAAGCCTTCTTCAGAAGAAGAGGACAGTTTGACAAGAGTGTTTTGGGAAGATGCATTTGAATGTTCTTTCCCAACTGCTGGGCTAGGTGAGGACAGTGACAATCAGTGCACTGGTGAGGAGTCACTGGAGACCCTTCCTGAATCTGTGATTGAATCTAGTATTACTGGGCATAGTTATAGCATTTACAATGCTGTCTATGCAGTGGCCCATGCTCTGCAAGCCATGCTTTCATCTAAGAGCAGAAAAAGACGAAATGCTTGGGAACTCAGTCAACAGTCGTGGCAGGTAAAAACGACATGAATGAAAATACCCCTTTATGTAAGGACCAGTCATATAAATGTTCAGCTAGTATTTTGCAGTTTTATAGCTAGAAATAGTATTCTGAAGCTGAATTAACTCGTAAGTGATATTTCAGAACTTCAAATAATAATTCTGTATAACACTAAACATGAGGTGCAACAATGTACAATGAGAAGGAAGCAATGTTAAATGTTAATTGAAGAGAAGTTTTGGAAGGAGTATGGGATAAATCAGTTTCCAAATGAATGGAACTATTTAATAGGATAATAGGAATGTGTCCTTGTATCCCACAGTGGTTTGTGATAGTTCTATCAAAATATTCTACTAGGAACCTCTGAATTTTATGATGCAAAAGCTTCTTTTAAGTAATCCCATTGTTCTCTTTATCAAAAGCAGTGGAAATAACTTGAGATCTATTATGTAATTGTTTATGAATCATTTTTGCCCTCCTTTTTGAAATATAAATTCTCTGCAGAAGTTCCCTCAACTAGTTTCTGGATGGAATTTTTTCATTGTACTAATTTGACAATGAATACTTCAATTATCTTTGATCATTTGCTTGGGTTCTGAGTTTTGATTTCACAGTGAGGAGAGGATTATGAGAGGAAGGAAGGAAGAAAGGAAGGAAGGAAGGAAGGAAGGAAGGAAGGAAGGAAGGAAGGAAGGAAGGAAGGAAGGAAGGAAGGAAGGAAGGGACCGCATTGACCTGAAGTGAGTCTTGATTATTTGTTTGGGGTCCTGCATTTTGATTCCACAATGAAGAGAAGAGTATGAGATACATAAGAAAAAAAGAAAGGATGGCATTGAAGAGTGATCAATATATAAACCACAGAATTTTTTTGTTGGCTCTTCATAGATCAAATGCTCACAATATTTTAGTAAACCAGATTTTGTGAGCAACAGCAAGTAACCAGGGTGCCATTAAGGGTAAACATTATTGTTCCAACTGACATAGATGATAATATTGCTTCCAACTTGCATGGGAATACTAAAGGAATTCTAAATACCTAAATGCTTTTTAGAAAGGATGCAAAAGTAATTAGAAGGACTGTTAAGAGAAAGTAAATGCCAATTTAGTCCTTGGAAAGAAGAGAGAGTGAGAGACAGACTAATCCTGCCTTAGAAGCAAATTCCTGCAGATATTCAAGTTTCTGTTATCATTCCCCATAACAATAAATATTCCTCATATTATATTTGCTGATTGGTCTGCCTTAAAAGGAAAACACCTAATTTATGAAAGATCCTTCATTCATCCTTGTTCATTGCTTCCAATTGTTATAAATTTCTTTTAATGCTTTCCATTTAGTTCCAATGGTATCTGAAAGCTGTTTCATTTAACAACAGTGCTGGAGAAATGGTTCACTTTGACGAAAGAGGAGAGCTACCAACTGGATTTGATGTTATCAACTGGGTCACTTTTCCCAACCAATCATTTCATCGTATTAAAATTGGAAACATAGCTCCAGTGACTCTCCATGAAAATCTTCTTACTATTTTTGCAGAGGAGATCATCTGGCCCCCCATGTTTAATCAGGTAGTTTTGACAGCAATTTCAAACCATGGTGAATAATTTACTTTATTTTTACCTACTGCTTCAATATTCAGAAAGTTCTTTCAGGAATTACAGGAATACAATGACTCTTTTCTCAAAGTGACTCGTGAACATGACGATCCTAAAATAAAAAACCAATGCAAAAGGTTACATGAGGCTGGCTCCAGGGGATTATAAGTGCTTCTCTCAGTGAGGGTGCCTTTCCTGCCGCCTTGAAAGAGGCGGTAGTGAGGCCCCTCCTCAAGAAGCCTTCCCTGGACCCAGCTGAATTAGCCAACCATCGTCTAGTCTCCAACCTTCGTTTTGTGGCGAAGGTTGTTGAGAGTGTGGTGGCACGACAGCTTCCCCGGCACCTGGATGAAGCTATCTATCTGGACCCGTACCAGTCGGGCTTCAGGCAGGGGTACAGCACAGAAACGGCATTGGTCGCGTTGGTGGATGATCTCTGGAGGGCTCGGGACAGGGTTTGCTCCTCTGTCCTAATCCTATTAGACCTCTCAACAGCTTTTGATACCATCGACTATGGTATCATGCTGCAGCGGTTGAGGGGGTTTGGAATAGGGGGAACCGTTCTGCGGTGGTTCTCCTCCTTCCTCTCTGACCACTCGCAGTTTGTGTTGGCAGGGGGACAGAGGTCGACCTCGAGGCATCTCGCATGGGGAGTGCCGCAAGGCTCGGTCCTCTCGCCCCTCCTGTTCAACATTTATGTGAAGCCGCTGGGTGAGATCATCCGTGGTTTGGGGGTGAAGTGTCATCTGTACGCTGATGATACTCAGGTGTACATCTCCACCCAAGACCACCCCAACGATGCCCTTGATGTGATGTCCCACTGCCTGGAGGCCGTGCGGGTCTGGATGGGGAGGAACAGTCTCAGACTCAACCCCTCCAAGACCGAGTGGCTGTGGCTTCCGGCGCCCTGATATAGTCAGCAGGTGCCATCGCTGACTATTGGGGGTGAATCTTTGCCCCCCACAGAGAGGTCTCGCAATCTGGGTGTCCTCCTGGATGCACGGCTGTCTTTAGAAGAGCATATGACGGCTGTGGCCAGGGGGGCCTTTTATCAGGTTCGCCTGATTCCCCAGTTGCAGCCCTTTCTGGACCAGGATGCCCTGTGCACAGTCACTCACGCCCTTGTTACCTCCCGGCTGGACTATTGTAATGCTCTCTACATGGGGCTCCCCTTGAAGAGCACTCGGAGGCTCCAACTGGTCCAGAATGCGGCCACGCGGGTGGTTATGGGTGCAACTCGTTGCGCCCACGCGACACCCCTCCTGCGCGAGCTGCACTGGCTTCCAGTGGTCTTCCGGGTGCGATTCAAGGTGTTGGTTACCACCTTTAAAGCGCTCCATGGCATAGGACCCGGGTACCTTCGAGATCGACTTCTGCCACCAATAGCCTCCCACCGACCAGTCCGCTCCCACAGAGAGGGTCTCCTCAGGGTGCCATTGGCCAAGTTATGTCAGCTGGTGACACCCAGGGGGAGGGCCTTCTCTGTGGGAGCCCCAGCCCTGTGGAATGAACTGCCCCCGGAAATACGTCAGATCTCCAACCTCCGTGTTTCCCTGCACACTGAAGACCCTGTTGTTCCGCCAGGCCGGGCTATCAACATAATAATTTTAAATTGGGGTATTTTAAATTTCTGGAATTTTAATTGGAGCCTAATCATTTAATGATTTTAAATTTTAATCGTTGTTTTGTTTTGTGTTTTTAAATAGGCTGTACACCGCCCTGAGTCCTTCGGGAGAAGGGCGGTATAGAAATAATAGAAAGTAAAGTAAGTAAAAGTAAAACATTTGCACTGATTAGAAGAGAGATTTTTTATCATGGGGGATTTACAAAATATAAGGAAAAACTCTGTCCCAGAGTTTACATGATTTCTGGGAATGTTGGAGTTTTAGAAGCAGGACCTCAAATAGCAACACTATGTAAAGTGGCAAGTTTTAGTAATACTCAGCTTTCTAAAAATTGCAACATGCGACATTCCCTGTGTAACAGATACAAGTATTATAACAGTTTTCCTATCCAGACACCAAACACCCCTATTATGAAGTCAGCTTCATTTAATTAGCATCATGCAGTAAATGCAGTTAGGAGTGATGCAGTGGCCTAGAGGTGGAGCTCTCGCCTCACAATCAGAAGGCTGTGGGTTCAATTCTAGATAGAGGCAGATATTTCTCTCTGCTGAACAACTCTCCACATTGGCATCAGGAAGGGCATCCGGCCAGTAAACACTCCATTCAGTTGCCCAGACTCCACCCCGCAAGGAATGATGGGGTTGTTAAACGAAGATGATGATGCAGTAAATGCAGTTAAAATGCTAAAATTTGTGTTCACTGAATCTCCATATGAGAAAAAGAGACGCTAAAGCCATTGAGGAAGTTATGATTTATCCCCAGAGTTAGAATTACTGAACATGTTTGCATCATTTAAAAAAAATGCAGAACATAGATGAAATGCCTGTATTTCTCTAGAAAGGTAGCAGTAAAGCATAAATTAACCAAAGTTGTGTTTCCATCCTGGGGTTTGTTTTTGTTTTGCATTTATGAAACCATTCTAGCTTAATTATGTAGGGGGGGGAAGCAGAATAATAATAAATTAAAAACCCAATATAAAAACTGACTTGAACTGAATTTGTTAGGGTGAATAAGATAATTGTCATTCTATAACAAGAGAATGCAGCCTTTTTCCTCATCCTCCAGATTTTTCTGAGTCTTAAGAAAAAAGAAAAAATATAAACACTTTCAGGAAAGATTAAAATATATCATTTTTTAAAAAAAACCATTCTTCAATGTTTAATATTATATTAAAAACTATAAGAAGTTTATTACAATGTAAAAAGCATATACTGAAAAGAATATGGTTATCTAAATTCTTATTTATGTATTTATTTATTGTTCATATTTATATACCGCCCTTCTCCCAAAGGACTCAGGGCAGTGAACAGCCAACAGATAAAACACAAGAAATACAAAATTATTACTCTTACTCGGTCATAGCTTCTACAAAAGCTTCTACAAAATATGGGGATCTGTATCAGCCTTTAAATAATATTTCAGTGAAAATATGGAAGACCACATCAAATTGGTCAGACAAGTGCTGAGAAAGCTCGTAACGGCCAAACTTTATGCAAAATTGTCCAAATGCGAGTTCCATAAGAAGGCCTGGACTACCTGGAATACAGGGTGTTGAATAAGGGGATCGAGATGGACCCAGGGAAAGGTTTTTGTTTTTTTTTAAATTTGATTTATATGCCGCCCTTCTCCAGAGACTCGGGGTGGCTTACAATGCGTTAAGCAATAGCCTTCATATTTTTGTATATTTATACAAAGTCAGCTTATTGCCCCCTGCGTCCTCAATTTACCTACCTTAGAAAGGATAGAAGGCTGAGTCAACCTTGAGCCTGGCAAGATTCGAACTTACAGTAATTGCAGACAGCTGGTGTTAATCA